TTTTGAGGTATTGTTGAGCAAAAAAAACGAAAATTTTCCAAAGCAGGGGGGGGTACCCCCCCCCCCCCCCCCCCCCCGCTCGCGCCGCCCCTGATAGTACTTGATCTACTCTTATTTTGAAATTCCATTGTTTTGGATGAATTTGTCTTTCAAATTCAGGTCGTATTTATTCATTACATACATGATAATCGATCAAATCCTGATAAAATGAATAATCATCTATCAAAAAGTACTTTTTATAGAAAATACACCCATTGATATTGCAATGATTGATGTTATTTCCATAATTCAGTAAAAATTCTATATAGAATAAAGTGAAGATGAAAACATCGTTCAAATATTAATTCATTCATTTATTGTGCTCAGATAGATGCTGACGCAGCAAATATGATAATAACAATGTTATTGAATACATATGAAATTTTAAATTAATAAGTTTAATATAATAAGTGTAAATGAATATTGGATCTTAAAACGAACTATATTATAATCAGTCATAAAGTGATACTAGACGAAAGCTTACATTGGTTTGTCTAATGTCACAGGAATAGTACCATGGATGAAGATAATGAGAGCAGTAATTGTTGATACTATCAGTGTATTCCTATAGAAATCGATAACATCAAAAGAGTATACTCTCTTCTCACTGCTACGTAAATGGATCAAATGAAATAGTAGACCTCTCAAATATCCACACCCTACTGTTCATAAATTCGTTCAATCTCTATATTCTAATATTTAAATTAGACATAAAACAATCAGTAATGTCTGAAAAGTGAGAATTATTCAAATGTAAGCGAAAATCTTTCACTTGGTGGAAATAGACTATGAATCATGTATGCAATAAAACGAAAAAAAGAGCTCAACTGTTTTCTTCTGTCTGTTCGATGGAAATTTTGTCTATAAATTCTCAAAACAACATAGATTGATTCTGACAGAAAATTCAATCATACATCTTTCAGAATTAAAAACATGCATTAATCAACATTGAAATATTTGTAAATTAAATACGAAAGATATTGCAAAGCTTTTGACATATTTAATATTTTTCTGTCGGGAAAAATTCTTTCATTTCTCACTCGAAAGATTTTTTTCAAGATGTTATACATAAAACTTTCACATTATCACGATATCGAGCACTCTTTAGTTGGTTCAGATGGATTTTGTTTGTCAAAAAAATTCACAAATTGACCAATATTTGCTGATGAATAGACTCCCCTATGATAAAAAGCTCTTTCACTCGCAGATGCATTCCTGAATAATATGATTAAATAAAGAAATTTCGATTAATATCTTCTAGTTTGTTGTTTCTTTTTTCGTTTATCTTTTCTAAATTAGTAATTTCATTTATAGATTGTTTCTGTTACTTCGTTTTTAATAATTTTTAATTGATAGTCTTTTGTCAAATATTTTTCGAAATCCTGTCGTATTTTATTTTTTCTTATTCGTTCAATTGGGAACAGTTGATTAACATCTTCCTCTAATGTTGTAGTCAATACGACATAGACAATAGCATAATCAAATATCGAATCCATATTTTCAATATTGCATGAAGGTAAGTGATTAGCATCATAATGAAA